TTCTGGTTATTTTGGAGAGCAGGAAAACAGTCCTACAAGGACGAGAAAGTGAGATTAGCAGAGAAATGTAGCCTTGGAGGCTTTCGTAAGTTACGTGAGAACCGAGGATTTCCGAGGTTCTCACGGAAAGTGGAATTTGTCCTCAAGGACGAGAATTCGGGTTCTCAAACTGTCATTTCTAAAAATAGGACTAAAAAATTCGCGACATCTACCTCCATGTCCCATTTGCCTTTTCCATGGAGTACAACTTTTAGGAAGTAATTTAGCAGTCCACAAGTTTATATTTCTTCAACATTCATATTGCACATTTCTTTCAACAGCTTGATGTGATTCTTGAGCATTTTTTGTTATCTCCTCATGCTTGAGTCATTTCGCAGTTCTTAGGTTTGAATGATGATGCAAGACCGTGCATTCTTGCATCTAAACTGATGCAAAACCAATGAGGAAATATTACCCTATCATTACAATATTGGCTGACTTTTTTTTTAAAAACCTGTTATTTTTTTAAAGCCTTGCTTGATTACTTTTTTTTTCATTGCTTCCCTCTGATCTAGACAAAGAGTCAAACGCTGCAGAGGAACTGACACTCATTTTCAAATTAATTGTCATTTGTCAGTCTGAGTTTTGAATATTACCTTGACTGGAAAAATGGTGGCCACTGGAGCAGCTATTGCCGCTGGAACAGCAGCAACAATTGTCACTGGAGGTCTTGCAGGTCCAGCAGTAGTCAGCAGTGTTCCAGCTGTGGCTGGTGGAGTTTCAACTGCACTTGGAACTGCTGCAACTGCTGGCACTGGTGAGTTTCTTTGCAGGGGTGTCCCATACAAATCAGTGTGTCCCAACCTGTGGCCCAGGGACCAGTGATGGTCCACAGAGGTTTTTTGCCAGTCTGCGGAAATTTTTCATCAGCATTATAAATTTATCAAAAGCAGCAATGAAATCTTTATTTGAAAAATTTGGAAAGAGAATGGCAGTTGAAATTATCTGATGAAAAATAAAGGTTGCCTGTTCTCCTAATAAAACTTGAAATTGTCAAGTTTTACTTTTATCTGATGAAATGAATTATCTTAATTTTTCATTCTGAGAAACCTTTCTTAACCCTTGGGCGGCAAAGTCGGACTATTTTTGCAACATTTTTTTGCACCTCAGGGCAGAAAATAAAAAAAGGACAACAGGGATTTCAAGACAAAGTTGGGGGAAAATCAGATGTTTTTTTCTTCTTGCACAGAAAAATTTTGTGGGAAAATGAAAAAAATGCTATGCTATAAGCAATGGGCTTTTGTCCGATTAATCCCGACTTTGCCTCAGCCCACCTGGAAGGTCTTTTCTGACCTTCAGAAAAATTAAAACGCCTTAGCATACAAAAATAATCCAATTTTGGTCAGCAATGGGAAAGAGCCCTTTGCCTTCCAAGGGTTAATCCTTTGGTGGTAGCATATTATATTGCTTTTCGCTGCAGTTCCAGGATTTTTTGCCAGGTCCTGCAAGTTGGTTTGACTAAAGGCCATCAAAAAGCAGATTTTTCTGATAAGCTAAAGTTGGGAAAATCCTGCAAAAGAAAGCCCTTGTTCTGATCATCCCCCAGCAATGCTAATCCCATGGCAGGAATGCAGAAAAAATTCCACCCAACAGTAACTTTTTTTCTTGTTTTGTTGAAAATGTTTCTTTGCTAAAAAAAAACAGGATTTTTCCCAACTTTAATTGGCTCTTCTAATCATTCCCCTCCTTTTTTTTTTACTCCTTGTGGTTCAACTTTTTGCGGATAAATCCCAGCACCACTTCCCAAGGGTTTAAAGCCCACTTTTCTAATATTTTGAAGACATTCCACTAAAGCTGCTTCAGTACTGGTGTTTCCATAGGAATAAATTTCAGAACCTTTGATTTCACTTCAATCTCTGTCTATTTATTACTTTCAGCTGCAGCAGGCGCAGTGACGGGACCAGCAGCAGTGGCGGCTGTTCTTTCTGGGCCCGTGGGTTGGGCTCTGATGGGAGCAGAACGAAAGAAGAATTAATCAAGAGCTGATGGGATTTCAGGAAAATATGAAGATTTTCCTGCGTTAAATGCTCATCACGGGGCTAAAAACGCAATGATGCAAGAGTCTCTGCTTTTTTTTCTTTCTCCATGAAACAGAAATGTTCTCTTTCTGAATTTAGACCAGTGTCAATTTAAAGAAAAAAAAACTCTTCGCTTTCTTTGGTCGTTATCTTTCAGAAATAAAAATGTTTGAGGTCCGGTATATTGTATGTGGTTTTTCCCGCCATAATATTCAAAACATCAAATATTATTTTGAAACGAGAAATCCTTTTTTTTGTTGCAGTAACAGTGTGTGAAGTGCTTTTAAATCCGATCGTGAAACTTTGTGCGTCCACATCTCAACGTCTCATCCCACTTCCAGGTAAGAAAACATTTTTGAAAAATTTGTAGAAACTTGGCAAACAAAAGTCGACTGTTCCGAAGACCCTTCCGTGCACCAGCATGAATGAATCCCGTTCAATTATAATGTTTGCGAGAAAATTTTGGAAATTTTGAACTTGAGCAAGTTTGTGAAAGCTCTTCATTTTGCACCGAGGCGTGTAAAATTTCCATAAATTACCTAATTCAACATAATTTCCTTGATTTAGATTGGAACGAAAAAGTGATTATCCTCAACAAATTCTTCTCTCTGTTCCAGCGTACAATAACAAGTCAAGCATGATTTAAAAGCACATCCTGAAACCTTTTTTTTTTTTTTAAATGATGTTTCGGGAGCAGGTGAGAAAAATATGAATTGAAATGGACGACTTCACCTTCGATTGCTGGAAGCCAGTGCTGAGAGACACGACAGAGGAACCATCGAAGGGCATTTTGCTGAAAGACCTCGTCACGGATCCCCGAATTTCAAGCGTGGAAGTGACGCAAAGCTCAAACGGCGAAATTCAATTGATCATCCTGGGAAATATTTGGGGTGACAAGTTCAGACTGGAATTCTTCCACGTGGGAGATGATCGGAAGCTTTTGGCTCATGCCGTTAAAATGAAGCCTGATGAGATTTCATCTTCTTGAAGTTTATGAAAAATTGCAATTTTATACATGATGTGTGATTGAGAACTTCCGCCTATTTTTGACATGCGCGAAATTTGTCATTCTGCAAAATGGTTGGCCGACATTTTGCGGCCTTTTCGAACAATAGACGCCAGGAATCTGGAAATTGCCGGCATGCGAAAACTTTAGTTTAAAACAATTCCTTTGCTTTATGCAACTTTGCCTTAATATGGGCTTTTTTTTTTTTTTTAAAGGCGATGAGATTTCAAAAATTATGTTTCTTCCTTCTTCCAGGAATTTTTAACAGGAACCTGTGAATTGTGCGTGTGTGTGTGCCAACTCAAAGGGAGCTCAAATCTTCTCAGGTAAATTTTTGCAACTGGAAACTCTCTAAAAATGCTTGCATTTTTTTATTAGAAACTTTATCCAGATTATAACATTTTTTGAGTACAAGGGTAACAATAATGAAAGATCAGCAACACGTTTGGCACAGTGAAACATAAAAAATATGCAGGGTAATTAGCCATTTTTTGGTTTTAAAAAACGCATTAAAGGAACACTTTTAATGGACATTCCTACTTTTTCCTTTAATTATGCAATAAACTTGTATAAATCACAAATACAGTTGGTGTCCTGCAATTTGACCCTAATCAGTTGCCAAGTATAAGGGTCAAATTGCAAAGCCATTGGATTGCAAGACACTGTCAAATTTGATGCTTTTTACAAAACATCTGACATTTTGAGTCTCTCTGCGAGTCAAATTGCAGAGCAAGAGGTTGAATTGCAAGTCAACATCCCAGAAAATACAAGTGTTGAATTGCAGGACATTGATTTGCAAGGCACCACCTGTACTGCAATAAATAAGCACACTGTTCTTATTTACTAAGGAAAATTTTTCTTCAGATTTTCTGGGTATATGATCAGAATTGTTCCAGCTGAGAATCAGGCATAGAACTGCATGCTTCCCACATTCCTCCATGATTTCCATAACATTTGCTCTTTTTGCAGAACCCAGGAAACAATCACATCTTCTGTTCAACAGACACAATGGTGGTCCTGACAGCAAGTGTTGTTGCAGGAACAGTTGCTGTAGTGGCAACAGGTGGCGCTGCTTTGCCAGCAGTGGCAGCTGGAGTTCAGTTAGGCACAACTGTGGGAGGCGCTGGTGCTGTTGCCAGTGCTGTAGGAGTGACATCTACAGCTACAGCAGTTGGAGCTAGTGCTGCAGTGGGGGGAGTTGGGGGAGCAATGGTGGGAGCTACTGCCACTACAGCCACTGCTGGAGCTGCAGCAGTTGGTGCAGCTGCTGGTGAGATTCCTGTGTGAATTGTTTCAGCTTTGAATTTTAATAAAGAATTTTTCAATTTTCTTTCTTTTGCTGATGCAGGGATTTGTTAAAATCTATTTCTGAAAAATATTATGCATAGCAAATGTTGAGTCTTTCTACAGTTGCAAAATCTGTTTTAAAAACATATTTAGATACAGTAGTGAAATAATCTATGATCTGGTTGAACTGTTTATAGTCAAGAAAATAATTTTTTGATTGGAAAAAACTTTCCATCAACTTGTGGAGTCAGTAGAATGCTGAGAGGCGACCATTGAAAATACAGGATTAAGATAATGTGAAGATATGGTTAACTTCACTTTTGTCACTTTCACTCATAATTTGAACAAGATTTTTTTTATCCGCTGCAATTTCTAGGTGCTGCTTCTGGTGCAGCCTCAGGGGCAGCCATGACTGCTACAGCTGCAGGTGTTTTGAGTGGCCCAGTAGGTTGGGCCGTTCTGGGCAGTGAGCTGAAGGGGGACACCATTGATGGTACCACCACTTATGACTGTTGGAAGAGGGTCATGAGGGAAGCTTCAGAAGAGCCTTCTCAAGGAATGCTACTCAGAGATGTCGCCACTGATCCCAGGATATCTGGGATGCATTGTTTACCAGATAATGGTGATGTTCAACAGCTGGTGATTGAAAACATCTGGGGTGAAAATTTCAAGATTGAGTTTTTCAAGGTCAATGGTGATGAGAGGCTTCTTGCTCATGCCACCCAGGCTTACTAGTTTTTTTCAGCACAAACTTATTTTTTTGGGGGGTTTAAATTCATGAACGCAAAGGCATTGAAAAAGGGGACATTGACCAACAGCTTTGTGGAATTTTTGCAAGAAGAGTTTTCCATTCAAAGAAGAAAAGAAAATTAATTTTCAGCTTTCATGGTGGTTTGAATTTGTCATCTCAGCGTACTGAAATGTATACAGTTATTGGATGAATCATTATCGTGGTTTTTTTTTAGCATTTCAAGCCACTTAGCCAAAAACCTTCAGGTCCCTGAGCACATTTTAGGTAGGGTTCTTGTGTCTCTCACTTTTGTGCCCAATCTCCCCCATATTCTTTACAATTATGTGCGCATGAATCATACCAAAGTTCAATAAGTATCCTCTTAACACATTTTCTTACATTGCCTATTGTGATGATGATGTGCTAAGATTTTAGTGAATATTCCTGCCATGATTACCAAAAGCAAAGCCAATCATACCTAATACAGGTGGACTCCCTCTACAACAATCCTGTCTACAACAATTTTTATGTAAAGCAAATTTGTGAAGTTCCAAAGAGTTTGCTCCTGAGGCTATTGGGGTTCTCTAAAACATAATTTTCTCTACAATGATTTTTTTTCTGGTCCCTTGCATTCTGCTGTAGAGAGTCTGCCTTTATCAATCTTTCAAAAATGGACTGCAATATAGACTTATTGGTGTAGGTCTCATTTTCAAACAATAAGCTGAGCATGCAAATTGAAGACTAACAGGCTAGCAGTTTCCATGTATTTCAAAATAAAATCTCTTTATCCAATTTTAATCTGCTTCTTTACCCTTGGATGGTGGCAGCCTCCTGTCCTCCCCTTGGCAAAGTTGGACTTTTTCCTGATGGGTGTACATTATATTTTTGCACAAGGTTATGCAACCCCTGCCAGGTGGGGGAGGGCAAAGTTGGATTTTTTCCAGGGATAATGAAATGCTGGGAAAGTCCTGAGTCAGACTTTTTCCGTATTGACCTCCAACCTGAGCTCCTGGCTTTCAAGCTTAAATTTAATCTTTGAATGGGGAAACAACACAAGGCCAGGGAAAAAAAGGGAGCCTTGAAGCTTTCATTCTTTCATTTTCAGGTGAAATTTTTCTGTGGAAAATTCAAAAAATGCCAGGATTTTTCTGGACTTTGCCCTGCACACACTGTTGGGGGTTTTTTCAATCCCACTCTGGAGTGCCACAAAAATCTGCAAAAAAAGTCCGACTTAGCCGCAGAAGGGTTAATCACTTCTTATGAGGTGAAAGGGATTACAGTATAGCATTTATAGTTGAACTCAACCTGCAATCATGAATTGATCATGATTCTATGAATCAGGTTTCTGGAGGTCAAAGATTCAGGCGACACCTATGATTTCAGGCATAAAAGCGGCAATTAAGGACCCCGCTTTGTGGCTTCCAATGCGTTTATTTCAAAACATGTTCGCAGTATCACTTCAAGCTGTGTGTTCAATGTAATAACGATCTGAGTTTCTCGTTTCAGGACAAAAGTGATCCATTTCTTGATTTGCAAATTTTATACAATAAAAATATAAATAAAATGGTGTTGATTACTGGCGGATACGCGAGTGCGACCAGCCTGCTCGCCACAAGCGCCACAACCGGAGCCACCACCGGTGCCGTGCTTGGTGCCCTCAAGACCACTCAGCTCACTCAGGCCTCCTGCAATTCCATCGTGGCAGCGGCATCTGCCGTGAGTGGTGTTGCCAATGCCATGCTGGGCTCCACATCGGCTGCCGCCAAGGTCGGTGCCACTGGCGCCACGGTGCTGGCAGATGCTGCTCTCGCCTCCGCCACCGGCGCCACTGTGGCAGCAGCGGTTTCTTCTGCCGTTTGTGGCGCCTCTGGGCTCTTTGCCGGACCAGCAGGACTCGCTTTGCTGGGAACTTCCCTGCATTCTTGTCGGGAAGACCAGCAAGAAGAAGCAAGGATTGCGAGCTTTGATTGCTGGAAGCCGGTTGTTCGTGATGAGTCGGTGGAACCATCGAGAAGTGGGGTTGTGTTGGAAGACTTTGTCAGGGATGCGAGGATCAAGTCTGTTTCGTTCCTGCGGAATGAAGATTCTTCGCAGCAAGTCGTCATCATCACGAATGTTTGGGATGAACGATTTCGAGTTGATTTCCTCCCATTTTCTCTTGATGGTCATTTGCTGGCTCATGCGGAAAAATTTTGAATTTTAACAAATTTTCTTCTCGTCGAAAACAAAAGTGCACTATTCTCCTATATACTGTACTGTTTGGATTCTATATGCATTCGAATCGAATTTCACGGAATGTAATTTTTTTAATTGCAGAAGAAATATACACGCAGCAACTTGAGTAATTTGAAATTTATTCTATGGAATATGGATTATCTTGGGGGGAAAAACAAAGCAATGGGAAATTTTCTTGGATACAATTTCTCAGGTTGCATCCGAGAGAAAAGAAAATTTTGGAACCTGATTGATCATGAAACCCATTTGATGCAGTAAAATCACGTTACACCCAATATCGATAGAAACCTGGAAAAAAGCTTTGTTGTTATGAAATATTTATTGCAAATAAATTAAAATAAAATCGTGGTTAATTCTAAATAAGGGACCTAAAAAACAAAGTTCTCCTATATGTTTTAAATCGGTGTAAACTACTGTAGATTTTTCGTAAGAAAGAGTCTAACGCAATAAGTATATTCTCTAAACGAATGCAGTAGAGTTATCTATAGTTACCAGTACATCATTTATATATTGCATCAAATGAGTAGATTACATGAATGTCTGCAGTCGAAGCCTATAAATAATACAGTTGATGAAGCAACAGTCGACCTTCGAACTGCTGGCAGAATCTGATACGTTCAGAATTCATTGTACAGATGTCACTTCCACAGCTGAAGTTTCAGTGACATGCTACGTGTACCATTATAGTACTCCAAGACTTCGACGGTTTTTAAAGGAGTTGTTCGAGTTTTTTATTCGTGAAGTGCATATCAGTTGGATTATTGCACAGTCTTGGAGGCTATTTCACACACATCTATTTGAAAAATGAATTTGTTTCCACTGTTCACTAGACTTCAGAGTTCTGAGGGCAGCATCCAGCAGTAATCAAAGTTGAACTCAATATTATCTGCAGAGATTTTACAATGGTTGAATGAATAAATGAATGAATGAACATAATGCTTTATTTTCTGCTTTTCAGCATTCACAAGGCTCAATCAAGATTTCCACATCCAAACCCCCTTCCCACCCAACCCAAATCAACTCAAAGACATTTAATCACTTCAGAGCAGGAAACAGACCACAGCAAATGGATAACAAAAATAAAATAAAATACAATCCACAAAATAAAACCAGACATCTGACATGTATGCATATACACCCATTCCTTCCCTGACATTGAAAACAAAATATCAGTAACAATTAATTTAAAGCACAAGGTTTTCAGTTTGTTTCTGTACGAGGTTTAGTTGAATGAACAATTTAGAAACAATCTTTGATGAGAAATCATATAAGACCAACAGTTTATCTTGATCCTTTCAGGAAGGGTCTTGTCAATGGTTTTGTCTTGTCTATATTCCCATGACCTGGTTTCTGTAATCAAGGTCAAAATCTCATTATTACAGTACAAAGTACTAAGGTCTTTGTTTTTATGGAATTGAAACCTTGAAAATTTAAAATGATAAAATTGAAGGCGCTTATCCATCTTTACAACCACAACAAAAAAACAATTATTGCAGTGCGGTTGCGGAGAATTGTTGCCTTACAATACTCTGTCTCACTCATGATGGGAAAACTTTCTTCGCGTCATTGCCGACGGGAAAAAGCTGGCGAGTAGAAAAACCCGACGCATTCCAAGGCAGACATTCTTAGAGCAGGGAAAAAACTATACATTTCTCCTCAAAACATGCAACAGTCACGATGACAGAGGGAAATGATTTTTAGGCTAGAAATCCTTTCGGAAAAATCCGAGTGCACAGTACAGTACTTTTTTTCTTCCTGCCAGCATCGGGTTGAGCTGGGTCCAAAGAAACAGAAACAGTAGTACTTAACATTTTGGGAAACGACGTTGAAATATTATGAATATGTGCTGGTGGATTGTGTGTGACAAAAGAAATGCGAGACTTGTGTGCGAAAATTGAGAAAATGAAGTGTTTGGTGGGCAGGAATAAATGCGAAAGAAAATGTTGGCCTGTAAAATGCAGTGCAAATCCTGATTTGATTCCTTCTGATGTAATGATACAACAGACAAAAAATGAAGTCATTTTTCCGTTTAAAAAAAATATTATTCCTAATACGGTTATACTTTAAAAATACCCATTTTTGTCCTGCAAAAATAGTAAACAAATTTCCCTGCAAATGTTGGACGCACTTTCGTCGCATTATTAAAATTGTGAAGAAATCTATCGTTTTTTTCTCATTTTCCATTCGATAAACTCATCGAGAACAGCGAAGTGTAAGAACTTCTCTGTTTATTTTTAAAACAATGATTATTTGAAAAATCTTCATACTTTTTGGGAACAATCAATCATACACTTCATCTGAGAATAGAATGCATCAACGAATATTATGCATAGCATAGTGTTGTGCTAATTTCAAGAAAAGAAACAGTAGTGCGTCTTGAATTTCCTCAAATGTTATTAATTTTCTTGTGATGCCCCTAATTTTCCTGTGCTAATAATGCGCAAAATCTTGCATGAAAAGATCACCATTTTCTTTCTGCTGTCCAGAGATACCAAGTGTTGCAAAACTTTTACATTTTTCCACAATTGTTTGATGTTCCTTAAAGACAAAATGCATTATTAAATTGAACTGTACTGTACTTTCATCATTGAATCACAACTTAGACACCCTTGATAATTTCTGCAGTATAAAAACATTGGTTATTGCATCACCAGAGCACCTTCTTTTCTTATGCCCAGCATTCCACAGCTACAGAAATGAGCTTTAAAAAGATCTGGGGATCGACTCTTAGAATTCAATGAAAAGACTCTTTCAAAAATCTCAGAGCACCAAGATAAACTGCTAACATTAAATTATTCTTCATCAAATATTCTCTCCAAATTGTATAATCAATTAAAACTTTTCAGGGGGCAGGCCAGAAAATATTGTGCTTTAAATTGGGTTCAGTAATTGCCTTATGCCTAAACTTTTCATCATTGATATTTTGTTTTTGTTATCAGCAGTGGGAGTGGAAGAAAGCGCATGCATTTACATCAATGTTGTGCAATTTTAACTTTTGGGATGTATTTTCTTTTATTTTAATATCCATATATACAGCTTATTTCTCTATAGTTTCCATTCTGATGTGATGGAATGTGTTTGAATGTGGGGGGGGGGGGGGGGGGGGGGGGGGGGGGGGGGTGGAAGGGGGGGGGGGGGGGGGGGGGGGGGGGGGGGGGGGGGGGGGGGGGGGGGTTTGGGTGAGGGAACATTGCTTGAACCTTGTGAATGCCGAAAAGCAGAAGATAAAGCTTGCTGCTGCTGTTCAATGCAATTCAATAGTGAATCATTTAAATCCTCATTCTTTCAGACGAGCCAGACTCGAAAGAATTTAATTTCGAATTGCAAAACATGGCGACACCGTCGCGAATTGCGGACTTTTACGCTGGAAAAAGTGTTTTCATCACCGGGGCAACTGGTTTGATTGGCAAAGTGCTCTTGGAACGCTTGTTACAAACGTGCCCTGAAATATGCAAAATTTATGTCCTCGTCCGAAACAAGCATGGCGTCAACGAGCGACGAAGAGTCGAAAAACTCGTGAAATGCCAAGTCAGGTTTTTTCCTGGTCAACTTTCGTTTATTTTATTTTATTTTTCGGAAACGTGAGGATTTTTTTTCTTCTCTTTATTCTTCTGCTCGATTTTCAGGCTTTTGATCACATTCGGAGAACGAGTCCAGAAACTTTAAACAAGATTGAGGCTATCCCTGGAGACCTGACTGCTCCTGAACTTGGGATTTCACCAAATGACCAGGAAACATTGATGAAGAATGTGTCAATCGTGTTTCATTCAGCTGCCACAGTCAGGTTTGACGAACCACTGAAATCATCTGTGCAAATGAACGTCGTTGGCACACTGTCAGTCATCAACCTTTGCAAACGTCTCCGGGATTTAAAGGTAAAATATATAATGAAATTTATGTTCCCATAGAAGACCGGCATCTATTGGAGAAAATTACCCCCACCTATTGGTGTTTAATTTTTTATTTGAAATCAGCCATTATTTACAACTAATACAGTTGGCTTGAAAAACCGAATTATACTTTGAATTTTGTCAGCATTTGGCATTTTGCTTTCACGTAAAGTTTTTTTTTTTTTAATTGAAGGTTGGTTCAACGTTTTTAGGGCCACTCTGTATAACAACAAGTTTTTTTTTCAGATCCAATTACTATTAGAGATTTGTTCTTATTTGAGTAAATTCAATTTGAGACCTGGTCCTTATTGTAGAAAATTACTTCAATTACCGCCCCATTCACTTGAGCACATGTTCTTTTTTTATATGGAAAAAATCAGGATACAGTATCTCCATACGAGGAATGGTTACTGCATTTTTCAAAATCTGTAGACATTCAAGTACAAACCTTTGGCAAGTGTTTTAGAAATTTTGAATATGCTATTCAGCACCTTTAACAGAGACAAATTTATTTTAAAAGAATCAAAGCACCTAAAAAAAATGGTACGTTTGCTTGACACGAGAATTTAAGAGCAATTAAAGTCATGCTGGTTCATTTTAGGTAAATAATTAATATGATATGTTATTTATTCTTGAAGTGTTCCAGTTTTCATGAATGCAAAAGTGCCGTATGAGCATCTTAGTCAGGAATACCGTACATTTTTCTCGAAATTCCAGCGTTAAAACTTCATGATGCGAATCTTTTATTTGAGGGCACGTTTTATTTGAATAAATCGTCGATACTGGTAATGTTTCAGGATGTTTAAGAATATTTAAAGAATACATGTTCTTCATTGTATTCAACATATACCATTTCATGTACTGTATCATCAAATATGAAACTTGAATGAAAACTTTCATGGACATGTTCACAATGACTGTGAAACTGTGTGTCTTTGCGCGAATAATCAAAATTTCCTGTTATAGTGAAACTTGTATCATCCGTAATATACTGAATGGTTGCCTTCGTTTAGATAATGAAATATCACGGATAAATGAATGCTATTCGAAAATTATATTTCACGGTAAAATTCTAAAATAAAAACCTGCGACATCAGTATACAGTAAAGTATTGAAATTCCCGGGAATCTTGAATTTCAAGGGTGTTGATTATTGATTCATCAGAACATTCAAAAGTAAATAATGAGGCATAGAAAGGGAATTAATTATTGCAGATTTCAAGCTGCATTGAAAATATTCCAGATGCAAGAGACATCTGAGTGCTGAGGCAGTTACCCAGCCTCCAATAAGGGAATTTAATTTTAAAAGTATGAAACTACATTATGGCTGCAGAAAATGAGAGAAGCTGGAGCATCCTCACTCCTTGGATGTTAAAAGAGGACTCGTATTTTTGTCTCTGATCACAGGTTTCATGAAGACAACAATCACACACACAATCAGCAAATACCATCTCCCATTGTGCAATAAAAACTCACTTTCAAAAAGAAATAAAATGAGCAAAGAAAAGATGCTTCACCTATGGCGCAATTCCCAACACTCAAACTTCTGAAGCAAATAACTCCACAACTTTTACACTTGGAAAATTCTACAACATCTTAAATTGAAGCCAAAGATGTTCTCCAACTTTTCTTGTATTCTATAAAAATTGACCCAATTGACAGATCTTGAGATATTCTTACTTTTCTAAACCTAACTTTTCTTTGGTGATAAGAATCTGGAAAACCTTCATGCCAGATTCTTATCTCACTGATGCACAAGCTTTTGGTGCAAACAGTGACTTCAAAAGCCTTGTTTCTAAATATAGATGAATGAATTTATTTCTGCAACAATTAATCAATCTGCGTTTTGAAGGAGCCTGAAACTGACTTGCGTAACAATCATGCATCACTAATTACTTTATGACCAACAGGCAATCGTTCATATCTCAACGGCTTATTGCAACTGCGAACATTCTTTTATCGAAGAACGGATTTACCCGACGTCTCATGACTACGAGGACATTGTTCAATCGTCTCGTTGGATGACTGCTGATGAAATGGATGCCATTTTCCCGCAGTAAGATATGATAATTTTTTTAAATTTCAAAAACCTCTCATTATAAGGACAGTTTTGTTGTATTTCAAGATTAAGATTCGGATGCAAACCTGTGAGAATGATTACAAGTTTATCTTTTAAAAAATATTTGAGAGAGAATAAAGTCAGTCCTTTTGCGCATTAGAGCCAGCAGGGGTACAGACATCACTATACAGTACTGCAGTGCAGCCTTAAATCTGGATTTAAATCCAGTACTTCTTGAACCTTGTCCCTATTTAACATCTGCAGGATGGATCACATTTTCCCACAGACTTCAATAGAAACATTATTTTTTATCACTTCCATGAATAATTTTAAAAAACTTTCCCAAACATATGATAATTAGAATTTTTCTCAACTCTATAAGATGCAGACAATAAGTGGACAGAAGAAAACCTAGAATATGATCTTTTGGCATGGGATTGAGTCTAAAACTTTAAGAAGAATGAGCATGCACCTTGCTACACACTGTGTAAGTTGCATGCTCAGTTATATAATGAAAAAAAGCATGAATTTAAATATTGAATGACAAATCAGAGTAAATTTATGATATGATCTTTTTCATATAAGAATAGCTCAATTTGTTCAAGAGACATCATTTTTTCATAGAAATATAGGCAAAGTTTCATCATCATAACAGTACCCATCTCCCCAATAACTGATATTGTCCTAATGTTGGGGCAAGAGACGTTTCTTTCTGCACGAAAGTGTCTGGAGTTTTATTCTTTCGCCGATTTGGGATAACACCTGACTGATAAGTACCAAATTAAAAACTTATCAACTTAAAGTATTCTAAACAGTACTTGCAAGGTGTACGGCTTGCACTGATTTATTTCCCTTCTCACATAAAACCGTACAGTGGAAACAAGTGAAATTGAAAGAAGATTTCTTACTTATGAATACTGATTGAATTCTAGGATTGGAATACGATGAATTACCTAATTGTGTTGATTCAATTGACTTTTCAAGATGCCAATTATGTAAATTTAATATTATGCCGAATAGGCCTGCAAATGAATGTTTACAAGCCCTACTTAAAAATAGAGAGGAAAAAGAATTAAATCAAAAATGTCTACTTGAAAGTGTCCCTACTCCTGAAGTCAAGTTTTTAAGATTAGATGAAGATGAATTCGCGTTTGTAAATCCTAAGGAAAGTCGAGTTACACAATACTGTCCAGATCAAGGAAACGGTCCCACTCAAAATTCATACGAATTACCTCATAGTGGAATTATGAAGTTTCATAACTCTTGTCAATATACTATGATAAATGGTCCTGTTTCCGATTTAGTAACCAATTTAGACATAGAAGGAGTTGAATTAAAAACAGTCACCGAAATAACGCCCGAATCAGACAAACGAAAAGTGATAGATGACATTAGTGAAGTGCAAATGCATTTCAGAGATTACGGGCATATTTATTTGCTAGGTCTATCAATTACGTCTATGATTATAATGTGCTGTTTATTATACTTCTGCTACGCAAAAATGAAAGTGTATTTAGTTCGGAGGAGAGCAAATCAATTAATTAGACAAATTGAAAATGTAGAGTTAATGCCTCCCTGACCTGCTAGGATTTATCCTTCGATAAAATTTGTATAAAGAAAGAAAAAGAAATTTCAAGTGTACGCATCTTACTGTTGGAATTCAGATTCACACCAACAGTATGGACCGTACAACTCAAATCCCCCAATCCGCACGTAGTCATACTCAGTATTTTTCCTCCTTACGTCATCCTCGTAGAATTCCAATCCCCCCAAGCTGCTAGAATCAGCCATGAACCATGTATTCAAATCAATGGTTCGCAGCTCATCCTAGCTTATTGGTAATGATTTGTATTCCCTGCAAATTTTGGGCTGTCCCTCCTGGATGATAGAACGCTGGTATAGGGACGTCCGAGTTCGGAAGTTCACTGTAAAGCCCAACGTACAAACCGGAAGTGCAAATCCCAGAATTCAATTTTTGTGTCCCCTCTTAAGAGACCCTGGCACGTTTGGATCCGATCCCGTATCACTTATATCTCACAGTGAACTGGATGGGCACAAACAATCCAGAACCCCTGACGAGGTTTGACCCGGGACCGAAAATTTGCAATTTCTCAAATGGTGACTCCTTACCAAGTAGACTATTGTGCTGGGACAAAATTACTATGTTTTGAACCAAAGATTTAAACTAGAGCAAATAACTGCTAAAATTGCCTAGGGGTCTGCATTCTATTGAATAGCGTTCAACCTTCAAAGCAAGAAGAGGGGTCTGCCTGTCGTAAATGCGTCAGGGAATCGACGCTTTGTGCAGATGTGGCAATAAAACCTTGCCGGCTCCTTGGCTCCCTAAAAAATAGTAGTGAGGCAAAATAACCCCAGATTCCGCTTATTTTACCCAAAAGTAAAGAAAAATCTTATTTACTTGAAGAAAATTGATTGTTTATACGAGAAAATATATGTTAGTATATATATGTTCATAATATGTATGTTAATATATGTTAGTATGTTGGCTATATATATATACGATGTGAGGAGAAAGTATGTGTTGTATGTATATTCATGTGTTTACAATTGAGAGAATTGTTGTAAAAGTATCTCTGTATGTGTAAATATCAACCTAAAAAATGTCAAATAAAAAAAAATAAATAAACAAGTCTAAAAGGATTGTTGAAAAAAGTTTATTCAACTCTCTCTCAGCAACTTTGCGCGATTTTTGCGGCAGCCAAATAACTACGTGCTCAACATTGATTCCAAAATACAGGGCAAAATTGCCAGCGGCTCCCTTCCCCCTTCGACTTCAAATACTCGATTTCCTCCCTCTTTTGTAGAAACAACGCGAGAGAAATTTATTTTTTCCTCTTGTCCATTTTTCAAACTGTGAACACTTTTTCGCATTTCCACGCAATTTTTGGTTATTTTTACTTCATTTTTTACTACTACTCCGTCGTTGCTCAATACGGATGGCGCGGAACCATAGTGTTTTTGTTCTTGACGCGAAATTGGCAACAAAGCGCAAAGATCAATCCTTTCCATCCCCAAATCATTACGATCACTTGTAGTATTCAAAGTCAAATTCCGCGTTTCACTAGCCACACTCTGGAGTTCCACTACTTCCGGAGTCGAAGTCTGCTGCTCCCCAATCGGAACCTGTTGATAACATAAACTGATAACAGATTTTTGTTTCTACTCCGTTTTATTTTTGACTTACCTCTGTGTAATCGCGACGATGTCTCCAATTGATGGCATATTCTCTGACCATATAAATGATCAGTCCACTTGCAATGCAAACACAAATACCAACCACCAACAGCATTATCGCAATAAAACTTGAAACCCCCGCAACCACTTGATTGTACACGTGATCTTGCGGTCCAATTGTTGTGTGATTTTGTGAAATGTTGGAGCTGTTAAGAAGATCCCCTACTCCAACAATGGATGCCTTTGGAAAAGACACCTCATCAAGGATCCTCTCCATGACCTGGAAGATTGGGTTTTCACTGGAGATTCCCTCAAAAATTGGAACACTGCTGACAACTGGAACAACTGTTGTCCTAGCCACCGACGACACCTGTCCAGCCAATTTGCAGCAACCTCCTTCAAGAGAGATGGAAGAAGACTCTGCATCTCCAACACAATCCACATCACCGTCAAGGATAACCACCTACAAAATAAACAGTGCACTTTTCTCGAAGATTGTATGTTCGCAAGAGTTCACTTCCTTACCTTTATTTGATTAAATACTGCGCAGTTTAAATTAAGTTCCGGACCTGTTAATTTAACGATTCCATCATACGCAGTAACTTGACAAACCCCTTCCTTGCATAAATCATAGCAAGTCCAGTTTTTGCCTATTAATGCGCAATCTTCACTTAGAGCATTTGAATTATACTTATTAAAAATAATACAAGCTGCTAAAACAAAAAATTTACCCGCCAACATTTTTGTTTTCTTAGTTTAAAAAATTCAAAGTCTATGTCAAACGCTGTGAAAAATACGCACTAAATTTCTCCGCAAAAGTTGGAAACTGAATGGGAACGATGGGAAGAAACTCACCTGAAAATCCGTACATGCAAATTCGCACGTACCTGCAAATGCAAAGGAATAACCTTGTTGCACTTTTCTCACTTTGAGGATTGCTGCATTTAAATAGAGCAAAACATTGCCATACGGCAGCAAAGTTTAAATAAGAAAAAGCAAGCTTTTTCTTCTTTGTGACGGGTGATTGTTGTCAGCTGGTTAAAACCGTGCTCTAACTTTCCTTCGCCCCTTGCCCCACTCATTAAAGTGGACGGCCGCGCATGAGTGCGCAACTGAGTTTCCCTCGTTACCTGTCCTAATGGTAATTAGCCCCAGGCGGTCGACCGCCCCATAAATCTAACAAATGCTGTGTTGCGGAATACGTGTGTGTCTCCTTTCTTTGTCTGGTCGGATGGTCATCGCCGAGCAATGACCCTGCACTGTCTGGTTTCTCTAAAGTTAATAAAGGGCCGTGCAAGGCCCACTTTTTCATATAAGAATAGCTCAATTTGTTCAAGAGACATCATTTTTTCATAGAAATATAGGCAAAGTTTCATCATCATAACAGTACCCATCTCCCCAATAACTGATATTGTCCTAATGTTGGGGCATGCAAATTTTGTTCCTTTTTTTTGGGTACTGTCCTCTTATCTCAGTACCTACTTTCCATGCCTTATTTTATATAACTGTTGAGTTTGGCGCACAAAGGACAATACTGTACACATTGCCAGTAATCTACATGACCAATTTAACCTGACCTAACCTAACTTCACCTAACCGCCTCCCAAAATCAGTTTCTGCTTTCTTTGGGTTTCTGCTGAAACTGACTTTGGGAGGCAGTTAGGTAAAGTTAGGTTAGGTCAGGTTATGTTGATTAAAAGATATTTGTAACTAACATAACCTGACCTAACCTAACTTTACCTAACCGCCTCCCAAAATCAGTTTCAGCAGAATGCAGAAAAATAAAATTCACAGTTNTGTTGATTAAAAGATATTTGTAACTAACATAACCTGACCTAACCTAACTTTACCTAACCGCCTCCCAAAATCAGTTTCAGCAGAATGCAGAAAAATAAAATTCACAGTTTCTGGTGGGTTGTCTTGATTATGAACTCATCCTAAAGATTTGTCTGGATGGTAGTGATGTAATTCATTTTCTCTTCAACTAACGTGTTAAACTAATTTTTCATTGCACAAATACTGAATTCACGAGACAAAGAAATATGGGTACTGAGATAACAGGAAAGTACTGTTTTTTGTTCTACCAATAGTCAAATTGAATTTTGGGGCACAACTGTACAATAGTTGCAAAAGCCCCTGATTCATAAAACAGGCCATTCATTGATTGTCGATATATGCCAACGTGGGTAATTCCAGGTTGAAGGGCGCTAAACCAAACACATACGCTTACACCAAGAGCTTGGCAGAGCAGATGATCGGTAGGGTTGGAGCAGGGTTGCCCATTGCCATTCTGAGACCCACGGTTGTCGGGAACTCCTGCAAAGAACCCTTCCCAGGTTGGGTTGACTCTGCCAATGGCGGCGGCGGGCTTTTGACTGCCCTTGCAAACGGGGCTTGGAGATTTTCGCGCACCTCCAAAACCTCTCTTGCTGATTTGGTGCCTGTTGATTACTGCGCAAACGCCATGATTGTGCTGGGCTGGAGATCCGGAACGACTTGGTAAGTTGTTCGACCAGGAAATTGACAATTGTTTCCTTCTCCTTTTTTTCTTCATTCACAACATTGAAACTGATGATGTTCTTTTAAAAAAATTAAATGCGGTTCTCTAAAAAAATGTCTCTGAAATTAGTCGCATTCTGATTAAATTAAGAAAAAATTTCCTTGGTCTGTATACATTATATGCCTTTATTTGTTGGACTTATACAGTAAAATACAGGTGAACCTTGATAAGTCAAAATCCCTAAGTTGAATTTGTTTCAGGTCCTCCTCCAAATTCCCTTAGGAACAATCCTTTTAAAACCTCCCTACACAAAATTATTTTCATCTTGAACCTCCATATAAGCCATTTTTAGAGACCATTTGTTTGTCATTTTCTTGACAGGGGAAAGAGAAAAGCAATAAAGAATGGAATTTGATGTGTTTTGAAAGGAAGTAAATGACTAATTGGGCAAATGAAATCCTTGCATCCAAGTTTAGCATCCTATCAACTCATTTAAGAAGGCCCAAAATATCACCATTTATGATTTTGCGCAATTATGCTATGTTTCTCAGAACAAATATTCTTGGTTCTGTTAGGCAAACCTCTATACGAGTAACTCAAAATATCCCTAAGTTAAACCTCCCAAAGTCAATTTTTGTGCTGGTCCCTTGATATTTGACTATGAGGTTCAACTGTATTTGTCAGGAATAAACCCAACAGATAAAGATTTTAGGAAGGAAACCTTATTTTGAGAAGAAATAGAGTGAGTAGGTTTGAATAAAACACAGAAATTCGGTCGG